AGAGAGAGAGAGAGAGAGAGAGAGAGAGAGAGAGAGAGAGAGAGAGAGAGAGAGAGAGAGAGAGAGAGAGAGAGAGAAAGAGAGAGAGGAGCAAGTAAGAGCATATATCATGATATATGAACCTTCATGGCATCACTTAGATGGATGCACTTGGCATCGCATCATCCCCTTCAAGTCTCTACCCTCTTCCATCGAACATAACGCATATTCATTATCTAAATGAACCTCTAAACAGTCTAGACTCTAAAGTTTATCAGCCGAGGGGCTCATCCCCAACGGCGCCGCACGACACATTTCAGGTTCCCGGCAGGATGCTGTGCCTGATATGTACAATGTATTCACATCGCATCACCTCTCCGCGGTCCACAGCGCCTTCTGACGTGTTTTGTGGTTTCGTTCTTTTTCTTTTGTTTTGCGAAATCTGGCTTCTCGAGGGCGGGAGACAGACGATGATGTGTCAGGCACCATTGAGTTTCTAGCAACCACAGCACCATCTGACTGGCGTCGCAGTGTCAGTACATTCCTTTTTTTTTTTTCCCCTTCAATTGTTGTTTAGTTCCTCCTTTTTCTTTTGTGAAGTGTTTGTTTTCTTTTTTTGCCGCGGTGGCGGCCAAAGGAAAGTGGGCCGTCGGAAAAATAGTGTGCCATGTCTCGTTCCATTTTGGAAAGTTGGCGGGTGTGTCATCGAACAGAGCAGATTCTTTAGAGGTGCTGTTCGTCGAGGGATTCCAACGCAGGTCTGTATTTCAAATTTTCAACAGCTTATGGGTGTACAAAGCTCAACAAACTGAGCTAGGTCTGTTGTTCTTTTCCTGTGTGCAGCGGCGGTGAAGTCTGGCTGCGATTTAGGGCCTCGCTCCAGCACTCATCAAATGCACAAAACGAGAACGAATCTTCTGCTAGAATATGGAAAGATACAGTGCCATATTTTTTGTCTTTTGTGCATGTGGTGAGCGGTGAGGTTAGGTCCACGTGCTCACGTTGGAATGCCTTTTTCTGTGATTTGTCCGAAGGAACGTTTTTGGGCACGTTTGAAAAATCAGCCTAAAATATACGTTTGAAAAACCTGCCTCAAATATGAGCCGCACACACACACACACACACACACACACACACACACACACACACACACACCCCCCAACACACACACACACACACACACACACACACACACACACACACACACACACACACACACACACACACAGAGACACAAACATGCATGCATGCACACACACACACAGAGACACAGACACACACAGACACACACAGACACACACAGACACACAAACACTTACACATACACACACACATGCATGCATGCACACACACACACACAGAGACACAGACACACAGACACACACAGACACACACAAACGCTTACACATACAAACGCGCACACACACACACACACACACACACACACACACACACACACACACACACACACACACGACCAAAGCACCGATCGGGTATTACCAATTTAGAGTGTGATAGAGGAGAGCTACGTAGGGATGAGAGAAAGAGAGAACCAAGCATATAAGACGGAGAAAAAACAAAGGAAGTAGGGATCTTCGAGCCCGTGTGTGCACAAGAGGGCGAGGAGAGGAGGCGAGAGAGAGGGGACGAGAGGGGTGAGAAAGAGGGCACAGAGAGAAGAGGGTGGGCGAGAAGGGGGACAGAGAAGGGGGGGAGAGAAAGGGAGGTAAGGAGGAAGAACAGAGCGAGAGCAGAGAGACACGCATAAACGGGCGAAAAAGCGTCTCCACAACAGAAGTCAGGGGGAATAAGAAGTTTGTTAAACTGGTGCTGGTGAGGGGAAAAGGGTGGACAGCAGAACCTCAGCTATGCGTAAACTAAATCAAGCCTTTTCGTAACCTCCCCCCCCAAAAACAACCTGTTACAAAAACCCTCATTGACGGAATGACCCTCCTGACCACCTCCATACCTCCACTTCACTACTGCAGCCTCCACCCCTAACGCTGTCTCTTATACACATCTAGATGTGTATAAGAGACAGCACAGACACATCTCCGGCCAAGGTAGTGAAGGGTTCGGCCCAAGCGTCATGCAGACATTTTCTAAATCCGATCACCTCGTTGGAAATGTGGACCAAAAAGAAAGGAATACATCTTCAAGAAAATAGACCCGACCTCGAGATCATATACCGAGAGGCAACAAAAAAACAAAACAAAAAAAAACAAAAACAAAGAAAAAACGAGAGGCAAAGAGACATTTAACAACCGCAAATGATAATGATAATGACAATGACACTCCAGCCAACCATGTTTCCTTCCGTTTTCTTTTTTCTTTTTTCTTTTTTCTTTTTTTCCTCCCCTTCCCACCGTTTGCATTAACGAAGATTCTTTCCCTTCTTTTACGTTTTTTTTTTATTCTCTCTCTCTTTCTTCGTGACTGTATTGACAATCTTGTTTTTTTTTTTTTTCGCTCGTTTCTACACAGGCCATATGAAAACGACAAATGGCGATTCAAAAAAAAAGAAAAAACGGGAAAAGGGAAAGCCCAGACTCACAGGCATTCGATCTATCTAAACAGCCAATCAATACAATCAGAACTCGAAAGGGCGTCCTTCGGGACAACATCCGTTAAAATTGGAACAATAAAGAGAAGACTTGCGCTTTCAAGGATGACACGCATAAATCGAGAAAAGATCCAAATTTTGATCATGAAAAAAAAAAAGAACTCGAAAGGGCAATCCAGTCGCGAACTAACTTCAGTTACTTAGCTCGGAGATTGACACTGGCCACCAAACTTACTACTACCGTCTTCCCTCGAATACAACGCACCCTCATTTGACTGTATCGGGCCGGAAACATGCCTTGCATACGTTCATTTTCAGGGTGCGTTATGTTCGGGGGAAGACGGTAGTAGTAAATTATTGCTGTATTTAGACGGAAAGATGCCCCAAATACAGCTATAATGACCGTACGTTATATTCGGGGGAAGAAGGTAGTAAATCGACCTCCACTTCTCTCTATTACAGTACCAAGTGAATGACGCCAGATAGATAGATAGCAGTATCATCATTCAAACGACATGACGATGAACACGATGACCATGATGATCATCGTGATGATCAAGATCGTTAATGAGAACAGTGACGATGCTGATGCTGATACTGATGCTGATGCTGGTAGTACTCAACGCACCAAAAAGAGGGTGACTTCATTCAACGCACCGAAAAGAGGGCGACTTCATTCAACGCACCGAAAAGAGGGTGACTTCATTCAACACACCGAAAAGAAGGTGACTTCATTCAACGGACCGAAAAGAGGATGACATCAAAGCCGGGAATCGAAGGAACGAGGAGATGGGCAAGGCGAGAGAACACCAACTGCATCTGTTTCTGCTCTTGAGCTCACTGCCGAGCGGAATGAAGTGAGGCATCGTTTCCACAGCTTCAGGAACGCGGAAAAGGGCCGCGCGAAGCTCTCAGAAGAAAAAAGTCCGCGGCTACTCAGCGAAGAAATTAACCAACCAATCAGAGATCAACACCCGTGACAAACAAAATCCGACCTGCTTCGGACACGTAATCAACGAATTCGCATTTGGCAATCCAATTCAAAACATCTAGGACATCTGTTGTACATCGAAACGCCCTCCTTGCCTTCCTCTCTCTCTCTCTCTCTCTCTCTCTCTCTCTCTCTCTCTCTCTGTGTGACTGTTCATGGCTAAACCCCTCCCGCTATGCAAGCCTTCGTCCAGAGCAATCGCATGCATTCCACCAAAACAACTCCCTTTCTCTCTTTTCGGGATATGTCCATCACGCTCCCCTTAAAGCGTTCTTACCCACATTACCACCATCTCCCTCTCCTCCTCCCCTCCCCTTCTCTCTCTCTCTCTCTCTCTCTCTCTCTCTCTCTCTCTCTCTCTCTCTCTCTCTCTCTCTCTCTGTGCGCCCGTCCTCTTCCCCCCTTCTCCCCCTACCTAACCGTGCCGCAGGGAAGTCCATGCACAGGATATGCCTGGGTCACAGGGATGATCGTGTAGGGAATAGCGAGACGAAAGAGAGGTGAGGGCTTGACAGTCGAGATATTCTGTGATACTGTACACGCCAACATTCATCATGTGAATCAATAGTCAAACTCTTAGGGGCTTAAGACCAAGCGCTGCTCTTAAGCGATTGGCCTCTTCAATCTCGGGATCTGCTGCTGCGTTATTGGTCGCTCTGAGGTCAGCTTGCTGTTGGTGATCTTTCCTCTTTCTCTTCTTGTCCTCCCTCCTCTCGTCCTTCTCTCCCTTCTCCCTCGCCTCTGCCTCCCCCTCTCTTGTATTTTCCAGCGACCTGCTCCTGCTCCGATGCCGCCTGCGCCTCTCGACACCCGCCGCCGCGCCCGGTGACCTATCCCTCTCCCTTTCCCTATCCCTATCCCTTTCCCTATCCCTGTCCCTGTCACGACGGTCCTGTGGGCGATCACGATCGGGACTCCGACTCCTGCTTCTGTGCCTCAGAGCTCGATCCCCATCCCGCTCCCGATAGCGGTCCCTGTCGCCTTGCGGTGGCTGCTGCTGCTGTTGGCGGTGCCTATCTCTATCCCTATCCCTATCCCTATCTCTGTCTCTATCCCCCCTCTCCCTGTCCCTGTCTCGTTCTCCCCTCCCCGACTTGTAGTCGAATGCATCCCTCTCTCTGTCCCGATACCCATCCCTGTCTCGATCCCGATCCCGATCCCGATCGCGGTCGCGGTCGCGATCCCATCTCTCCCTTTCCCTGTGATCTCTGTACCTATCCCGCTCCCGACCGCGTCCACCTCTCTCCCTGTCATGATATCCACCATCCCTGTCGCGGTCTCGATCGCGCTCTCTATCGCGCTCGCGCAGCGGAGGGGGACTGCTTCCCCCGCCTCCTCCCCCACGGCGAACCGCCTTGTCCACCCCGCCTCCGCCGCCGCCACCGCCGCCGCCTCCGCCGCCATTCATTTCCGCAGCTCCACCTGGCCCCAGCCTGTCCGTCCCCCCCCCCCCCCCCCCCCCCCCCTCCTCGAAATCCTCCTCTAGCGCGCTCCTCCTCACTTCCAGCTGCCCCGCACTCTCCAACGTGAACCTCTTCGGGATTCTCGGCAGCGCCACGTCACAGCTGTAGTCCTTCGTCAGCAAATCGTCGATGAACTCGTCCACGTGGCTCAATGCAAAACTCCCATCCTCCTTCCGCCGTCTCAACTTCCTGTAGTCGTTGTACAGCGGCTCCAGATACAGATACACATCCGTCGGTTTCCCCACCAGCCGTAAATAGAACGCCCCCAATATGCGTACATATTTATAGTCCTCGTTCTTTATGAACTCCACTACTATCTCCTTCTCCGGTTGAATCTGCAGCATCTTCAGCGTAAGACACATGAAGTTCGTTGCCTTCCGGCTTCCTCCATACGTCCCTCCGAAATGATCCAACTCCATCGCTTTATCCACTAGGGTTTCCGCCGTCAGACCGAAGCATTGCTCCTTCCAATACGTGTTTTGATAAATCTTTGATCTGAGAATCTTCTCCACAAGATTCTGAGGATTGGTTCCATGTACACTCTTAGCCGACGGATCGGTTCTGTTCGCCATCGCTGCTGACTGCAGCCAACGGCACAACACCAAAGCCCGTTGCACTCCTTGTTCTCCCTTCTTCTTCTTCTTCTTCTTCTTCTTCTTCTTCTTCTTCTTCTTCTTCTCCCTTCTTCTTCTTCTCTTCTTCTTCTTCTTCTTCTTCTTCTTCTTCTTCTTCTCCTCCTCCTCCCTTCTTCTTCTCCTTCTTCTTCTCCCTTCTTCTTCTTCTTCTTCTTCTTCTTCTTCTTCTTCTTCTTCTTCTTCTTCTTCCCTCTTTCGTTAACAGCCACTTCTGACGTCCACAGCCTGACCACAAGAAACGACGAAGAATTTGACGTTAACGAAAACCCCACTAATCACCAATGTTATCTCGGCTTAAGAAGAAAGAGGGGAAGGAAAGAAAAGAAAGAAGAAAGAAGAAAGAAGAAAGAAGAAAGAAGAAAGAAGAAAGAAAGAAAAAAGACAAAGAAGAGGACAAATACCGGGACCTTGCGGCCAAACTTGCACAAAGAAAGAAGGAAAGAAAAGAAAAGAAAAGATCGCGAAGGACTGGGAGGGGGAGGAGGAGGAGGAGGAGGAGGAGGAGGAGGAGGCAGCAGCGGGAAGAAGGAAACTCGCAGACACAGTTTTAAAGTCACCACTTGCAAATTGTTTGGTTCTCACAGTTGAGATGAGATTGACAATTTGGATGACGGTGGATATGGCACACTCGACCTCACGTAGCGATTGGGAAGACCAGAAAGTGCAACGAGACTGAGAATCGCTACCTTCAAATCCAACGGTCTACGACCGCCGCTGTGCCCTTCCGCCGGCGGGTCATCCATCTTGCTGAAAATTTCGACAGATGACAAGCATGGTTACATTAAGACGATCATATCGTGCTTATTTTTCCCCTTATGAACGTCGGTTCGAGATTGGGGCCACCCCACTCTACTATACTTGCAGTTTTCTGGCTATGGTCATACTCAACCTGCCACTTTTCTAACCATAGCAGTCTTTGAAAGGGACCTCCTGTTTCGTCCTGTCGTGTGGACCTGCGCATCTGGCCCTTGTTTCTTCAGAGGGTCCACACTGGGATCTGGGATCTCCCCGTGTTCACAGCGAATCCTAAGAAAACAGAAACGTCGAGACAGCTTAGCAGCCAGTTAGACAGCCAGTACAAGGGGTCCAGGCAAACTTGAGAAACCAGCAAAAACGAAGGGTGGGTTGTCATGGGCATTATAAGGGGGAGGGGGGGGGGGGAGAAGGGGGGGTTGTCCCGATGTTCTCAGCCCATCAGGGGTGCGTTTTATACCCTGAGTTCACAGCCCCTCAGGGTTATGTGTCCCCCTCGTTGGTAATACCGGCCGGTAAAATGAATGGGGGGGCGGGGGGGGGGGCAGTTCAAACAAACGCAGGACCTGTAGCTGCCATATGTGAAGGACCGGTAGGAGACCTTGGTCCTAAGAAATTTTGAAACAGTATCCGGCCCTAAGAAATTGTCTACCACGTGGGCGCGGGGAACGCAGCCCTAAGGTAGCCAAAGCGAGGAGACTAAGAGCTCGCACAAAAAAGAGAGGGAGAGAGGGAGGGGGAGAGAGAGAGAGAGAGAGGGGGGGGGGGAAGGGCTACCAGAGAGAGAGAGAGAGAGAGAGAGAGAGAGAGAGAGAGAGAGAGAGAGAGAGTTTTGTTCCATTTACTAGTATGAGTGTGAGAGAGAGACAGAGTGAGAGAGAAAGAATGAGAGATAGAGAGAGAAGGAGCGGGGGGGGCTACCAGAGAGAGAGAGAGAGAGAGAGAGGGAGAGAGAGAGACAGAGAGACAGAGAGAGACATAGAGAAAGAGAGAGAGAGAGAGAGAGAGAGAGAGTTTTGTTTCATTTGTTGATATGAGTGAGAGAATGAGAGACATAGAGTGAGAGAGAGAAAGAAAGAGAGATAGAGAGTGAGGGAAGGGGGGGGCCTACCAGAGAGAGAGAGAGAGAGAGGTTGAATGGCAAATGGAAATATGGGTCAAATTACGGTCGGGATCTATTTCACAGTTGGAATGATTTTTTTAAATTTATTGAGCGTTTTTCCTGGAAAGATCACAACAAAATCTACGAGTACTCCAATTTTTAGATTTTTTCACGCATTCGTCTGCGCGCGAAAACTCACTGAATTTGGAGTACTTTTTAAGTTGGCCCACACATGGCTGAGTGGCAAAACTGGAAAATGTGTCGAATCGGCGTGACGATTATTTTGCAGTCTAAATGATTTTTTGAAAATGTTTAATATTATTCCTGGAAAGAACACGACCTCATCTATGGATTCTCAAAATTTCAGATTTTTTTGCGGGTTCGTCCGAGCACAGAAAATCGTCAAAGTTGCCACTTGCAAAACGCCTATTTTGTTGCGCCTGACGTCCCTGTTTTGAGAAGACTGGCCTGAGGGCCTTTTTGCAGTTCACATGCCCTCACTTCTTTTTGTGGTTCGCTTCTACCCGAGGACCGGTCCAACGCCCCGTGCTTCTTTTTGGGGTCCATTTCCACCCGAGGACCGCTCCTTCCTTTTTCCAAAAGTCGCGGTTTTACGTGAGCTAGCTGTAGGTAGTACGCAATTTTGGCAAGGACCGGTCCCCTAATTTTTTTGGCCCCCTTAGAACCCACTTTGCATCCTGGTCGCCCACCGCCAAAAATGCGGCACCTTGACACAGACGCAAAAGCCCACTATACCGCAGCCTAAGGGCTGCGAATTTTGAAACAGTGTCCGGTCCATAGGTCCTTGAAATTCGAATATGAAAAGTCACAAGCCCAGGCTTACAACCTCCTGCCCAGCCCACCCACTTCGGCCCAGTCTGCCTTCTCACTGTACTAGATCATTTTGTTTGAATCTGGAAGCATTTTCGGACCAGATTTAGAAATAGAGATTCTCTCTCTCTCTCTCTTTCTGTATATATAAATATATATATATATATATATATATATATATATATATATCCTACCCCTTAAGCGCGGTGAGCCCACAGGGGGAGGCCGTGTTCTGCTGCGCGCCGGAATCGGGCGGAACTTACGATTCGGCCCGGCGGATGAAGGCGATCGAGGGCGGGGGTGCGTGCAGAACGGTGTGTGTACTGGATTGTTCACAGCGCGCCGGCAAACGAGAGAGCGAGCCCACGGGGGCCGAGAGGTGGCGGGCGTCGATTCGAGTGAATATTTCGAATCGCCCGCCGTCGGATTACAAAAAAGTGTCATTTTGTTTCTTTTCTTTTTTTCGTTTTCCGTCATTTTTTCTTTTCTTTTTTTTGTTTCCTGTCATTTTTTTTTTAATTATTTTTTTCGGTTTTCTTTTCTGTTCTTTTCTTTTTGCGGGCCGCGGAAAAGACAAGCGTTTTTCTTTTCCTTTTTTAGTTTTCCTTTTCCTTTCTTTTCGTTTTGGGGGCCGCGAAAATGTTTTCTTTTTGTTTTCGGTTTTCTTTTCTGTTCTTTTTTTTTTGCGGGCCGCGAAAAAGACAAGCGTTTTTCTTTTTTCTTTTCCTTTTGTGGTTTTTCTTTTCTTTTTGGGGGTCGCTATCTTTTTCCTGCCGCAGAATGGCAGGCGGGATAAAAGAACCCGACACACACACACGCACGCACCCACCCACACACGCACCCACCTACACACGCACCCACCC